CACCATCTTGCGAACTAGCCTTTTTCTCGCACAAGGCTTGCACCAACACTTCTCCTCTTTCGTCTTCGCCTTGTGTTTCCTTCGAGCTCGTTTGGTCTTGCTCCTCCTAGGCTTGAGCTTAGCCCGTGGACCACATCCTTTTGGCCAGTCTCTCTTGCATGATGGTCGATAAATCGGGCTTGATGGCTCTTCCAACACGTTCTCCAACCATAAAACGAGACCATCGTCACCTTCATCGTCTGACTCACCGGGGTTGATGACCACTTCCGTATCATTCCCCTCCTCTTCGAGACTTTCCTTGTCCTCAAGGATTAGAAAATTCAGCTCTCCTTCACCTTCATGGCCATGAGCATCGATCACCATTGCTTCTCGGGCTTCCATGAGTTGTCTTTCACGATCCTCCCAATCTCTACGTTCGTGAAGCTCCTCCAAAAATTCTTGCTCCCATGTGGTTAATTCCCTTTCCAACCCTTCGAGATCCTCCAGATCTCTCAATGAAAGCACCAATGATGACGGATCGATCTTTTGTCTATACATTGGTTGCGAATAAACGGCGCACTGCGGCCTTCGTTTATTCCCGATAGATGTGTCTAACAGACGTACTGCGGCCTTCTCCTAGACACCGTGACTTCAAGACGCTCTAATGGCCTTCTCTCCGACACTGTATGTAAACACGCACTAACGGCCTTGTTTATCACACGTTAAGAACATCAGTTCCCCCTCAAGATTGGCTCACCAATTCAATACTTCATTCAAGACATCCAATAATGATGAGGTACATGGGGTATTTATAGGTGCAAAATAAATCTAAGCCTAAATCTACTAGATCTCCTAAATCTTGCAATAATAGAAATCCTATCTCTAGAAAGCAATAAAATCCTAAAGCTACCAAATAACTATTGCTTGGCTTGCACACCAAGCAAATCTAGAAGCTCCCTAAAATTAAACCTACGCACGCCCAACTCTCGGCCGCCTCATATACGCCGCCTCACTTGCGCGCGCGTTCGCGATTCCTAGTCCTCGGCGGACTCGGCGTCTTGCGCGCGGTCACCATACGCGCGCGCTGTTGCGCGCGCTTCCTCGTTGCCGCGTCCCGCCTGCGCGTGCGCTCCCGCGTTCAGCACTCCTATGCCCGTTAGGATTGGGTCGCCCGCGCTTGCCTCGTACTCACGCGCTGCCGCGCGCCTATCGTCACTGCTGCCTGTACCCCGCGCGTGCGTGCCCCGTGCCTCGCCTAGTCCCGCGCGGACTAGGTCTCTCGTGCCTGCCTGCCAATCGCGCGCCATCGCGCGCTTCGCGCCCCCGCTGGTCTCCCCGCGCGCGTTCTCGTCACCCCCGCGAGTACTGCGCACGCCAGCCATCTCGCCATTGCCATCGCGCCTCCCAGCCGTCCCCGAGACCTGATCGCACCCGCGTACGCCCGATGTCGCGCTCGTTACCCTATCGCGCGCATCACGGCCCGATGCGCGCCCCACGCCCGATAGCCGATCCTCCTCGACCCCTTTGCCGTCCGACTCCGTTGGCTCGCCCGTTGGCCATGGGTCCCATCCGTCCAACCCAATACAATCACCAGCTCGCCAAATCCAACCATCTTTCATTCTACTCTTACCTCCCCTTCGAGCCACCATCTTGCGAACTCGCCTTTTTCTCACACAAGACTTGCACCAACACTTCTCCTCTTTCGTCTTCGCCTTGTGTTTCCTTCGAGCTCGTTTGGTCTTGCTCCTCCTAGGCTTGAGCTTAGCCCGTGGATCACATCCTTTTGGCCAGTCTCTCTTGCATGATGGTCGATAAATCGGGCTTGATGGCTCTTCCAACACGTTCTCCAACCATAAAACGAGACCATCGTCACCTTCATCGTCTGACTCATCGGGGTTGATGACCACTTCCGTATCAGCGCGCAGACACGCGATGATGCGGAAGTGGGTTTCGAGCCCCGACGACAAGAAGGTCCAAGAGCCGAGAAGGCTCGAGAAGGCCGAAAAAAGGGCCAAAACTATGCATGCATGGCCTAAGTGACGTGCACGAGCCCGTATACGAGGATACCAACATGCACGATGGCATAGGAGGTCGAGCAAGAAGCTCAAGAGATCGAGGCTTGAAGGCTCGGGTGACGCAGTCGACTGGTGCAAGGCGTGCACAAGGGAGCAACGAGCACGACGCTTGGAGGCTAAGGCCTCGGGCGTTTACTTTACGGAAGAGGCGAGCGGTGAGCTAGGGGTGGATGTTGGGTGGACAGCGCGTACGTGGGACGACCGCAAGGAAGGGC